ACATACACTCACTCACACGCACACACATATACACACTCACACACGTACGTGCACGCGCACACACACTCACATACACAAAGACATACCCACACTCACGCACAAACATGTACATGCACACATTTTCAATTAATGCTTACTGGCCCTAAATGTGTGCATTCGCAGTTCATTACTTGCAGACTTATATGACAATGTGCCGTATACTTACCATGTGATTTACCTGAATGCTCACATGTTATACACTCACCTATGTGTGTACGTGGTGTTTGTTCTATATGTTCACGTGCGATTTACCTGTGTATTCATATTATGTTGTACATTTACCTGTATGCTCACGTGTTATATGCTCACCTGTGTGTACGTGGTGTTTGTTCTGTATGTTCACGTGTGATTTACCTGTGTATTCATATTATGTTGTACATTTACCTGTATGCTCACGTGTTATATGCTCACCTGTGTGTACGTGGTGTTTGTTCTGTATGTTCACGTGTGATTTACCTGTGTATTCATATTATGTTGTACATTTACCTGTATGCTCACATGTCATATGCTTACCTGTGTGTATACATGGTGTGTGTGCTTTATGTTCACGTGCGATTTACCTGTGTATTCATATTATGTTATACATTCACCTACATGTATATGCTCATATGTCATACATTCCCCTCTGTGTGTAGGTGGTGTCTGTGCTGTTTGTTCACGTGTGCTATATTTACCTGTATGCTCACATGTCGTACATTACCTGTGTTTTCACATGTCATACAATCACCTCTGTGTGTGTGTGTGTGTGTGTGTGTGTGTGTGTGTGTATGTGTGTGTGTGTGTGTGTGTGTGTGTGTGTGTGTGTGTGTAGGTGGTGTTTGTACTGTATGTTCACGTATAATTTACCTGTGTATTCATATTATGTTGTATATTTACTTGTATGTTCACATGTCATATACCTACCTGTGTGTGTGTGTGTAGGTGGTGTTTGTGCTGACGGGAGACTGTGGTAACGTGACCCACAGCGGGTACCGCGCCTACGAGGAGATTGCCGCCACTAGCTCGGGACAAGTGTTTCTGCTTAAGAAGTCGCAAGTTAATCAGGTCAGTGCTCTTGCCTTGATTGTTTTCTCCAACCTAGCACCCCCCCCCTTTTCCACCCTACCCTAAAAAACCCAAAAAACAAACAAACTCACCTACTCAACGTCGACCCAAACTTCATATTCCTATCACCTCTCCTACATCCGAACAACCCCCACATTCCAACATCCGCCCTAACCTCACCCCCGCCCCAAAATCCGCCTCCATCTCTC